TGTGGAGCACGGCTATGGTTGTGGTTGTTGTTGTTGTTGTTGTTGTTGTTGTTGTTGTTGTTGTTGTTGTTGTTGTTCAGGTCGCCAGTGTGGAGCACGGCTATGGCGCCCAGTTAAGTACCGCTGACGMAGGTATGTGTTGTTGTTGTTGTTGTTGTACAGGTCGCCAGTGTGGATGTACAGGTCGCCAGTGTGGAGCACGGCTATGGCGCCCAGTTAAGTACGGCTGACGCAGGTATGGCCTCCGCCCCTCTTCTTCTTCTTCTTCTTCTTCTTCTTCTTCAGGTCGCCAGTGTGGAGCGCGGCTATGGCGCCCAATTAAGTACCGCTGACGCAGGTATGTGTTGTTGTTGTTGTTGTTGTTGTTGTTGTACAGGTCGATAGTGTGGAGCACGGCTATGGCGCCCAGTTAAGTACGGCTGATGCAGGTATGGCCTCCGCCCCTCTTCTTCTTCTTCTTCTTCTTCTTCTTCTTCTTCTTCTTCTTCCCTACTAGGAAGGAATGGAATAACAAATCCTGCAAAGATGGGAAATAATAGAATAATACTTAACAAAGGCAATTGATTCATAATGAAAAATATATCTATTTAAAATAAAGAATATTGAAGAAAAGAATATTCTTAAAAATCTATGATTCATTCTAATTTTTTAAAAATATGAACTTCTTCTTCTTCTTCTTCTTCTTCTTCTTCTTCTTCTTCTTCTTCTTCTGCTTCTTCGTCTTCTTCGTCTTCTTCTTCAGGCGGATGTTGTTGTTGTTGTTGTTGTGCAGGTCGACAGCATGGAGCACGACTATGGCGCCCAGGTGGTTGTGGTTCTGGTTGTTGTTGTGGTTATTGCTGTTGTTGTTGTTGTTGTTGTTGTTGTTGTTGTTGTTGTGCAGGTCGACAGTCTGGAGCACGGCAATGGCGCCCAGGTAAGTACCGCTGACACAGGTATGGCCTCCGCCCCTCTTCTTCTTCTTCGACAGCGTAGAGCACGGCTATGGCGCCCAGGTGGTTCTTCTTCTTCTTCTTCTTTTCTTCTTCTTCTTCTGGTGGTT